GCGGTTGTCCTCACAGGCCTCCAGGAAGTACTCTGGCGTGGCATGCTTGCAGATGAGGTCCGGGTAGAAGATGGTGAATTTGTAGCCCTGCACCATCTTGGGCGGCGGGTTGTCCACGTCGTAGTGCGTGCGGTTGTACTGGTTCCAATGGAAGCCCGTGTGCACGCGGTTGAAGAAGCGCGGCTTGCGCGGCCGGTATTTGTCCGCCCACAGGTAGGCGCGCCCGTGCAGTGGCATCTCCACGCTGAAGGGCGCCTCGTCCTGCCCCAGGCCCTCTCGCGCTCACCGCGAGAACACGGCTTCCACACTGTCACTGTCTCTCCCGTCGTCTGTGGCCTGGAGCTGTTGGCGCCACAGCTGCAGGCGCTGCAGGTCCTCGTGCTGCTGGAACACGTGCGCGTCCACCGGCAGCTCGTGTGCCCTGAGCTTCTGAGGCTTCGCTTTCGCTTTCGCTTTCGCTTTCGCTTTCGCTTTCGCTTTCGCTTTCGCTTTCGCTTTCGCTTTCGCTTTCGCTTTCGCTTTCGCTTTCGCTTTCGCTTTCGCTTTGTCCGAGTCCGCCCCTTTCGCTTTCGCTTTCGCTTTCGCTTTCGCTTTCCAGCAGGAAAGCAGGTCTTCCAGGTCCGCCACTGTGAGGCCACTGAGCAAGGTGTAGGGCTCGCGCAGCTGCACGGCCAGGTCGTCTTCCTCTGCACTGATGTAGCTGGCCAGCAGGTCGATGGGCTTAGCCCGCCCTTCTCGGATGCGGATCTTGGAGCGCAGCTTGGCCTGCAGCAGGTGGAAGCTGCCTTCCTGCTCCTGCCAGGTCTTGAAGTGCTCGGCCTCCTTCTCTCGCTGCAGCAGCTCCAGTTCCCGCTCCCGCAGGGCCTTCTCCCTCTCCCGGTCCAACCACCGCTGCTTCAGCTTCTGGAGCTCCAGCCGGTTGTTCTCCTGGATTCTTTTGTGGTGTTCCTTCAGCTCTTTTCCTCCCAGGGGACTGATGCCCTTCTTTTCCAGTGCCTTCACCCAAATAAAGGTGCCCCCCATGGCGTCCTCGCTCCAGCCCATCTTCTTCTGCCTCTTGTGCTCCTTAGCTTGCTTCTTGGCCAGTCTCCGTGCCAGCTTCTCCTCAGGCGTCTCCAAGGCCTTGAGCAGCTCTTCGTGCTGCCTGTGCTTCTCACGCAGCCACAGGCGCTCCTGCAGCTCGCTGCTCCCATGGTTCTGACTTGGACTTCTCTGCCTCTGTTCCCTGCTCCCTGAGGGCCCTGAGCACCAGTGAGTGTCACCACCCATTTGGCCAATGGCTTCCTTCTTGAGTCTCAGTTCTCTCGTGTTCTGTCTCTGTTCTTTCTGCTGGATCCTTTTTTCTACACTTTACTGCAGTGCAATCCTAATTAGTCTTTATGAGAAAAACCCGCAGTCAGATATTAGGGGGTGAAAAAGGAGGGATCGGAGAAACAGAACGGCCAGCCGCTAGAGAGACCTTTGACCTCTTCAGAATCCTCAGAGCGAAGGTGCGAAGGTGCGACCCGGACCCTGTCTCTAGGAATCGGCACACAAAATGCTCTGAGTCCTGTCTCCTCTGGCCTTATATAGGTCTGTGCTCCCAGCCTTAATTAAAGGCGTGGCGGAAACCCAAGGCCAGGATCAAAGGCGGGAGCTGTTTGTTTCTCTCTGGGACTTTGGAGGCTGTCCTGCAACTAGGTCTTTAGACAAACCAGTCTCTAAATCACAGAGATTCTCCTGCCTCTGCCTCCGGGGTGCCGGGACTAAAGGCGTGCCCCTCATGCCCTCTGCCCCGGCCAATAAAAACATTTTATGAGCACTAAAATTCCTTAGTCCTAGAAATGTAATTTCCAATCTCTCAGTTGTTGGGCCCTTCCCCCATAGGGATCTGCTGACCAGGTTGTGACTAGGAGCTTACTCCTTGTTTTCCTCCTTCCTATAAGGCCAGAACATAAGTTCCCATTATCCGCCTAGCCTTATCGCTGGAGGGACTTGGGAATGTCAACTTCTGACCGGGGTAGTTTTCCACGGTGCCTGCTGACTGGCATACAAGGCTTCCCTCCTTGAAATGAAGGGCATTCTCCTTGCACAATGACCTGCTGTCTTGTCTTTATTTCAATCCTCAGGTCCCTTGCCTGAAGCCGTGAGAAGTTTTGTAGCACTGGCGCTACAAGTGGAGGGCCCGCCAAGATGGGGAAAGAAGGCTAAACGCCAAGGATCACCTGGGAAGCCTGGCCAGCATTCTCATTAAGTTAAGGAGTCCATGTATTGGACATTGGTGCCTCAACTCCTGAGAGACTTGGATTGCAAATAGAGAAGCACTGTCTCAATCAGAAAACGAAAAGTTAAAAAAAAAAAAAAAGGACAAGGAAAAGAAAACCAGAAAAGTAGAAAATGAATATAGACAAATAGAAAATGAGAAAAGTAGAATAATAAAAAAGGAATAAAATACACAGAGAGTCCAGATACTGTATGCTATGGTGCTGTCTTTGAGGTGTGAGTATTTAAGGGAGGAAGATTTAAGCTAGGTTTTTGTGTTTTGTCATCGGCCCCAAGGTATTTCAGGGCCCCCAAGTAGTTTGGAGACAACAATGCCCACATTCCCAAATATTGTTTATAAATGTGTTTTTATTTTAATGGGTTGGCTATAAATGGTAATATCCAGGGCCAGAGGGCAAAGGCAAGGAAGACCAAGGCCAAACCTAGGAAACTCACGGCCTTGAGTGCTGGTGCTGCAGCTCACTCCCAGCCAAATGTATAGAAAATGTTTTCAATGCAACCAGTCAGAAACTTTTTAAAACCTTTGAGAGAAAGAAAGGCAACATAGAAAAATTTGGATTTATTCGAATTTTGGATGCTCTTAATTCAAATTGGATTGGCTATAGCTACAGAGATTTCAATTAAAGAAGTTTCATTTCCAGGGGTATTGATGGCACATGCCTTTAATCCCAGCACTGGGGAGGCAGAGGCAGGTGGATCTCTATGAGTTCAAGGCCTTCCTGGTACAGAGTGAGTTCTGGGACAGCTTCCAAACAATACAGAGAAACCCTGTCTCAAAAATAATAAATAAATAAGAGTGGGGAGAGTCCAGAGGTGAGCTGATTTGGCTCCTAACTTTGGCCCAACATCTTCCTGCCCGCCCTAGCAAATCCTGCCCCGGGATCTGCAGGCTGACCGAATTGGTCCCTGGGGTCCCTGTGATCCTGACTCTGCTGAGTTCGATGGGCTATTCCGGCCCCCACAGAGTGCAGAGAGTGCAGAGGGGAGCTGCTTCAGCCCTTAACTTGGGCCCAAATTCCATCTGCCCACCCTGGCAAACCCTGCCCAGGGATCTTCAACAGAATGACTCGACCGCTGAGGACCAAACAATCCAGAGTCTGCTGACATCTCTGTGCCAGTGCTGCTCTCACCCACCTGGAGAGCAGGTGCCTCAGACCTCCATGCACCCAACTTGAAACCCATCAGAGTATCAAGTCAATTGCACACACCTGAAGAGAACACTAGACCCATTCACACCAGGAAAGGAAGTGACACCAACAATACCCACTGGAACAAGAGATGGGAAGACGACAATATAAGAACACATCCAACAACAGGAAAACCAATATGACACCACCAGAGTCTAGAGACTCCACACCAGCAAGACATGAACATCCCAACACAGAAGAAGCAGAAGAGAGCAACCTTAAAAACAACTTCATGGAGATGATAGAGAACCTAAAAGAGGAAATCAAAAAATCCTTCAGAGATATGGAAGAAAAGACAAACCAAAAGTTGCAAGACATCAAGGAAAGCCATAAAAGCCCAAAAAAAAAAAAAAAAGGACAAGGAAAAGAAAACCAGAAAAGCAGAAAATGAATATAGAAAAATAGAAAATGAGAAAAATAGAATAATAAAAAAGGAAAATACACAGAGAGTCCAGATACTGAATGCTATTATTGTGCTGTCTTTGAGCTGTTCAGTATTTAAGGGAAGAAAATTTAAGGTAGGTTTTTGTGTTTTGTCATCGGCCCCAAGGTATTTCAGGGCCCCCAAGTAGTTTGGAGACAACAATACCCACATTCCCAAATATTGTTTATAAATGTGTTTTTATTTGAATGGGGTTGGCTATAAATGGTAGTATCCAGGGCCAGAGGGCAAAGGCAAGGAAGACCAAGGCCAAACCTAGGAAACTCACGGCCTTGAGTGCTGGTGCTGCAGCTCACTCCCAGCCAAATGTATAGAAAATGTTTTTAATACAACCAGTCAAAACTGTTTAAAACCTTTGAGAGACAGTACATCAACATAGAAAAATTTGGATTTATTCAAATTTTGGATGCTCTTTATTCAAGGATTGGAATTAGCTACAGAGTTTTCAATTAAAGAAGTTTCATTTCCAGGGGCATTAGTGGCACATGCCTTTAATCCCAGCACTGGGGAGGCAGAGGCAGATGGATCTTATGAGTCAAGGCCAGCTTTGTCTACAGAGTGAATTCCGGGACAAACTCCAAACTATACAGAGAAACCTTGTCTCTAAAATAATAAATAAATATATAAATAAATAAATTTCATTTGAACAAACTAATCATAACCCAGGCAAAATGTGAGATTAGAGAGAGATGTGTGCATGTTCCTTGTGTAAGGTGTGACCACACTGCTATGTTTAGACTATGATTTGGAATGCCTGAATGTTGACAAAAGAAACTGCTTAAATTGCCTTGGATGTGAATCAAAGGATACTTAAATTGCTTTGAATATGGTTTAAAAGAGCATCCAGTCAGTCAGTGTCTTAACAGGAAAAAGGTTAGTGATTCGAGCCCTCAGACTCAGTTGATTGGAAAATAGCAGAAACTTACAGCACTGACTTCAGAGCAAAGGGCGTCTATATGGATGAATCTAGAGAGTTTAGCAGAGGAGAGGATACAGAGTTCCTCCTAAATTTTTAGGGTTCACAAAGAAAAAAAGTAGAAAAAATCTAGAAAGAAGTTAGTGCATGATTTGAAAATGGTTTTTAAGAAGAAGCCTCATGATACAGCAGCCCTGTTAGGCCCCCAATTGGAATGGTTTCAGTATAGATCAAATTAGGCCTTGACAGTTAAGAAGCAAATGAGGCCTTGTCGGGAGTGTGATCTTCACAGGTTGGAGAAAGGACTACTCGAAAACTTCAAGTAATTTTCAAAAGTTGTTTAAGACATAGCCTAAAGATATTAAGCTTCAAACATTAGAAATTAGAAAGGATAATTTGCAATCTTTGAGTGGTTTTCCTTTGTTGTGGGGAAATATTCACATGTTACGTCCTTTTTTAGAGCTCATACTGGTGGTTTAATACCTTTAAAATGAGAATCTAAAAGGAGATGGTTATCCCAGTTCGCCTAGACTGTTAACAAAAGAGGGTAGACAAGGGGAAGGGTTTCTAGGTGACCATGAAATGTATCTTTCCTTCTACAAGCTACTTCATATGTCCAGATATTATGTATCAGGGAGCAAAGGAGTGAATGCAGCTATTCTTTTAACATAATGAGTTATTCTTAAAATGCTGGCAGGTTCTGCGCAGTTCTCTGTAAAGTTCCAACATTACTTTTGCCATTGTTCCCGACATCTCCCCCTTTTTTATTTTCTTCAATGGAGAAGGAGGCAGGTGCTCAATCCTTCTGTGGAAGAGTGGTGGGCATTGCACCAAGAGGGTCTCCTGCCAAGCTGGTTGGGTCAAGCGATCCTCGACCTCCAGGATGTCTGTTTGGGATGGGAGGTGATGTTATGGACATCAAACCTCCCTGCA